AGAATGAAGCAAAATGATGGAAAAAAGGGTCCCTATGTCCTCCAGCAGTCTAAGCCTATAGCAGCATAACTATAGAGATAGCTCAGGATAACCTGAGCCACCCGAACTAGAAGCTTTATCAAAAAGGAAAGTTTTAAGCCTAGCCTTAAAAGTAGACAGGGTGTCTGCCTCATGGACTAAAACTGGTAGTTGGTTCCACAGGAGGTATTTCTGCTATTAAAATAAATAGTTGATATGATATTCTTTTAGAAATGTATATTTTAAACTGGTATACTGTATATATATATATATATATATATATATATATAGTGAATTTCTCCGCTGTGAGATCAATAAAGTTAATATAATCTAATATATTCCTATTCCCACAGGTCCTTTTAAATTCCTAGAACAGTTGGAATATATTTTAAGGTAATTATAATATGAGTTTCTTAAATATATATCAGTCTTTATCCCTATTTAAGTTCCAATCATTTGCATTTTAAGCAGTCATTTACCTCGGGGATTATCCAAACCTTTCTTCTTCTGCAGGGTTTTTGTCACTGTGCCCTGTGCTGCCACAAAATGGACAGAAAAAACAGTGAAATGCATCACAGGGGAGCTGCACCTTATATAGAGGGCCAGGTGTCAGCTGACCATCCTTATCAGCAGGTCATCTCCCACTATGTACTGGACCCACTCAGGTATCACGTCATTTAAATATTCATTTACCCGTATATGTCAGGATTTAATGAGTGCATTTTGTTGTACTACTTCACCGATATGGTGGATCTCAGAAGTGAGATACACAGTTCTTTGCTCTTCCTTAAAGGTGCAGTAGGAGATCTTTTCTGATGTATTTTTTACCATGTGGCTTTAAGATCTCCCCACAGCCGCTTAGCAAGCAGTAGAATAGAAGGTCTGGAAGTGAAACTAAAATAAATGGTCCCCACAACAGTGAGAAATAAATGAATAACCCCAGCCAATCACAAAAGATTGTCCGTTGTACACGATTGGTTCCATGACACGTCAATCATGTTCGTCTGCTTGTCCCTCCCCCTGTGCTCGTACCCTGACACATGAACGAATCGATCCCCGCAATGCTCGTGCAGGACATCATGGCTGGAAGCTAGCCACTGTTATGCTAAGTTCACACCTATGGTGACCAGATTTGGGCTTCTGAAAAGGAGGACACATTTCTAACAATGGGCTGCTTGGGCCAATGATGGAGCGACCAACCCGACCCGGTGATGGTATGCTTCTCCCCGCCTGCCTTACCGGGAAGCATGGCGCTGACGGTGTTCCGTCTACAGTCACCAGGTCAGGTGACTTGATGATTTTGAAATTCCCCCCGGACATTTTTTTAGGTTTGAAAAGTAGGACATGTCCGGGAAAAAGAGGACGTCTGGTCACCCTCATCACACGTAAAGCTGTAGGACCAGCTAAAACACCCTACTGCTTCATTTTTAATGCTTGTACAATTTTAGTTCTGATGCNCAATACAGCAGACCTATAAAGTGCTGCTGGCGCGTCTTCCAACTCCTGTTCTTTCCCACTCGCCATTCCGAGACAATTCTCCACAACAACTGATTTTTTTCCCTGCTACACCCGGCTAAGCTGCTTCGCTTCTTCTTCTTCTTGTTTACTACTGGTAGTTGGCTTTGGTCGCAGTACCGCCACCTTCTGCTTTGCCTATGAGAAAAAGGAGCAGCGCATGAACCGAACGAAACACACGCAAACCAAACCGAGACAGTCGAACCGAACGGTATATATATAGATATAGATATAGATAGATAGATAGATAGATAGATAGATTAGGGATGGGACGATTTATGAAAATCGTCCCAGCCGTACGGTTCAACTGTCTCGGTTTGATTCGCTTGTGTTTCGTTCGGTTCATGCGCTGCTCCTTTTTCTCATAGGCGAAGCGTTTACACTCCAGAGCAGAAGGTGGCGCTACTGCGACCAAAGCCAACCACCAGTAGTAAACAAGAAGAAGAAGCGAAGCAGCTTAGCAGGGAAAAAAATCAGTTGTTGTGGAAAATTGTGTCGGAATGGCGAGTGGGAAAGAACAGGAGTTGGAAGACGCGCCAGCAGCACTTTATAGGTCTGCTGTATTGGACTGCTTTGCATTTCGAGTGACCTACGATGACGGCGGAAAGAAAGTTGTGGATAAAGTGCGACAGTGTGCGTGCATTGTGCAACACGTTTTGTTTATGCTAACAGCAACATGACCAACATGTCATGCTAACCTCGAAATCCCTCATACTCCGTCAGCAACCCCCGCTGCGCTCCAGACCGGCTTCTCAAAGCAAAGCCTACAGCCCCCACTGCGGCTCCCGTCCGCTCCCCTCTGAGTCCCTTGGAGATGGTAGAGAGCATGCGCGAGATGATTAAATTCAAAGCAGCAAAACATACGGAAATGATCCAGGGTTTCTGCGGATCATTTAAAATAATTACAATCCATTATTTTTTGGGGGATTTTTTTCATTAATTTCATAAATTTTGATGGGATTTCGGTGTAACAATCAACATATACCGAATCGAACCGAAAACCACGACCATGAAACCATGAATCAAACCGAACCGTGGATTTTGTGAACTTTTCCACCCCTAATATAGATAGATATATAGATGGCATTAAACATTTTTTTGAGAGCTTTAAAAGAGAAATAAAAAGCATTAAACTAGAGTTACTTATTCCTGTATAAACCCTGTAAGAGCTACACGGGTGTTGGGCATAAAATTAGCATTGTTTATTATAACTGTATTATACTTTGGGTTTACAGAATGCAGATCTGTTCATGTGAAATGTATCTGCTTATTCTTACCAAATTTTAACAAGAGTCAAAAGCAAATCTTGATCCGAACATCCCTTATTCCACAATTTCCAAGTTTGTAAAAATCCTGTGAATATTCATGCAAGTAAACCTCTTAAAAACATGTATGTTGTCATTCTGAACATTGGATACCTGTCATTGAAGTTCTCAGCAGATCTTATGATTTATCTATAACTAAATGGAATTATTTTATTGTTTTGTCTTTTACCTGGGTTTCCTCTTAAACTGATACTGTGACGATGCTCTTTTTTTAATTCAGAGAAACGGAGATGAGGAACTCGATTTTAGCGCAAGTACTGGATCAGTCTGCTCGAGCACGATGTGAGTGGGTGTTTACAGTCGTGTCTTTCTCCTAAAAGAATGAACTTATAAATATATAAACTTACATCTAATTTATTATTTTTCAGTAAGCAATCTTGCATTGGTGAAGCCTGAGAAGGCCAACGCAGTCGAGAACTATCTTATTCAGATGGCACGATTTGGAAAGCTGGGAGGAAAGGTGAAATGACATCAAACGGTTCATTCTGTCAGCTCCGCTGAGGAGTAACAAGCAACTTTCCTCTTTAAACAGATTTCTGAGTCTGGATTAATTGAGATCCTAGAAAAAATCAGCCAGCAAACGGAGAAAAAGACAACGGTTACAGTAAGACCCTGTATAATGTCTTGCATGATTGAATGGTTTTATGTCCCACTTATTTTTGTGCTTTGTGTCTGGCTGGCAGTTCAACAGACGGAGGGTGATGGACTCGGACGACGAGGATGATTACTGAGTTTTGACTGAAGCCCTGGAATCTGACAAAAAAAAAAGATCCAGGAAGTGATCTGCATTGCCGGGACTCTGCAAAGATCTCTGAATTGTGTATTTATATAAAATACACACGTTTCCTTTCCTTGGAATGGATACATTAAACAGAAGAACAAGGACAATAGGTTAATATTTTCTGTGTTGAGGGTGGTTTCAGAAAAGTACAGAGTGTTAACGAAGGCTCTTTTGTAATCTCTTCTCACTCAAGTTGCTACAAATTTGTACAGCTTGTGATGTGCCCATGATAGCTGAAAGCACTCTGACTCCTCTTCACAAAATTTTCTTTATGGTTAAAGTCTGTTTTACAAACAGAGCGAGGCAGACTGCTGGAGATTAACTCATCTGAACTGTTCTGTAATCTTATTTACTCAAAGCTAACATCCTGGTAGCTTTGATCATTGCTCTTACATAGTTTTCTTGTTGCAGACTCGTATTGCTAAAGTTTTCATTAAAATAATAAAAAACAAAGCCTTAATTTTTGCTATTCTCTTCCATCACACCAATGTTTTATTTATCAACTTGTGCAAATGAAGCAGTTTCCTTTAGTTACATACATAAGGTTTTCAGGTTTGAATATAATCTTCCAAACAAAGATTACTATTGTTTCAAAGTACTGTTAGAGAAAAACCGTAAAAATGTCACTGCCAGGATACAGGTCATTCAGTCTTAAGACTTTCATTCATATGCAATTGTCGATTAAAGTTTTGTACATGATCTAATCAAAATGTTACAGTAATTATATTTTTTAAACATATTAGGGACTCATGTATTTTTTAGTGTTTAGTTTTTATTTTAAAGATTGAGCTATTGACTAATGAAAAAAATTGACATGAGACCAGTCAAATCCTTGGAAAGATAGCTGACTGGACAGTTTTCCAGTAGTCTGTTACTCATCCACATTGAGGACGCTTCACTATAAGTTATTTTTGAAAAGTTTTTTTTTTTTTTTAAGAGAATATTGTTTAATAAATGGAAAATGGAGTAGGAGGAAAAAAATTCAGACCCCCTCAAACTTCCAGGTCTGAGGGTGGACTGTGGCCCCATGCAGAGACTTGGCCTCCTATCTTCTTGGTGTTCAGATATTCCAAAACCAGAGAAGCAACTAACTGGGCTACTGCTCAGTCACCCATAGTCTCTTTTCAGGTGAAAGGGAGTTTTGTAACACATTTAGAAACCAAGATGTCAGTGGTTGGAGCGTCTGCTGATGTGATTCATTATTTCTGTAAAGGGCTGTGCAATATAACAAGATTACAATATCAGTTTTTTAATAATCACATGCAGAAGACTGGGGCTGCTGAGTGGCTCAGTGGGCAGCACTTGCAGCAAGAAGGTTCTGGGTTCGATTCCCGGCCTGGGGTCTTTCTGCATGGAGTTTGCATGTTTTCCCTGAGCATGCGTGGGTTCTCTACAGGTACTCCGGCTTCCTCCCACAGTCCGAAATCATGACTGCAGGGGGCTTCTCTAAAGTCCCCTTAGGTGTGAGTGTGTGTGAATGGTTGTTTGTCCTGTCTGTCTGTTTCTGTGTTGCCCTGCGATGGACTGGCAACCTGTCCAGGGTGTTCCCCGCCTCTCGCATTGACAGCTGGAGATAGGCACCAGCACCCCTCGCGACTCCGCTTGGGACTAAGCTTGTTAGAAAATGGATGGGTGGCAGAGGACTGTTTGGAGTGTATTAGTTGTTGGCTTATATCTCTAAAAGTATTATAACCTTGCATTATACATGCTAATGCAGATGCCCGGACTGGACATGGATGACATTGCCCCAAATGGTAAGGTCACATTGTAGGAAGCATGATCGAGTCATTGCAGTAATGTCCATGATCATACAGCTAAGAAATCTTACACTGATTCTTGCTTCTCACTGCTTACAAACTTTTAGAGGAGTATTTAAATTTACAAACTCTTACAAATTAGATTATTCAGTACAAGGAATAACTTTTCAGTCCATGACGTTTCTTTTATATATATATATATATATATATATATATATTTTTTATGTCAAATGTTAAGTCTTAGAAACAATTTTGGAGTCCATTTTTCTTGTGTCATATTAGATTTTAGATAAATAAGCCCTTCAAATGTGTCAACCTGTGTGTGTATTATGGAGGACCTCCTTAAAATATATTTTGCATTTTCTCATAAATCTAGACCCTAATATTAATTCATTCTAATGTCTTAATTCAATGGTATGCACCTATTTGTAGCTGTTTTCAGAACTTCATTTGCTACATTAAAAACTTTTTATAGGCGCGTGTCCTTGCCCCACTTCTGCGCGACCGTGGTCAGATGGTCTCTGATTGGCCACTTGGACTATTACGTCAAGCATGTGTGAGGTGATTGGTGAATGGTAAAACCACATGTTTATAATCAGCCAATCAGAAGAGATTGCTAGGAAAACGATACAGTGTGGTTGAATTAGCTTTACAGATAATGCTAAACACTTAAACTCTTCCTTCAGAGTGGCTGAATTGATGCTATTTTGGAATTGCTAAAACGGGTTTACAGACAGAGCGATGCCTGAAGACAACATGGACACACCGTGTATGGTTACCTGCACGGCTCCTATGAATATAGCTGTTATTAAATACTGTAAGTACACGTTAAATGTAACTGTAACTGAGTGGTTATAGTAGCGACTGACTGCTAAAGCTTCTCACCTTTACGTTATCTGGTTTAAAATTGCTGCAATCGCTGTTAATTAACAAATTAATTGACATTTTAAACGCTTTTTTGTCGGTTTAATTAATGAAACGCTTCATATTCCAGGGGGCAAGAGGGACGAAGATTTAATTTTACCCATCAATTCATCTTTAAGCGTCACTCTGCATCAAGAACAGGTAGGTGAAAAATATCAGTTAAGCTTTATTCACAGCTAATGCATGACAAACATTAGTTCCTCCTACTCTGTTAGTCAGTAAAGTATTGTTTTTGCAGCAACATGCTCGTGTTTTAATTTGTCCGAGGTTCTATAATGCAATTCTTTATTTGTCCTGTTGAAATGACAGGAAATCCAGTCCAATTCAGTAAGATTGTTACCCCTCCCCGACCTGTTTCTGTACAATGCTTGGAAGACTAATACACCTGACTGTCTGTAAAACATAGGGGCCCAGAAAATATGTATATCTTTCAGTGGATTTCTTGTTTATTAAACCTGCTACTAAAGTTAGCTTTCATATAAATCATAATTGAAAATTAAAATTTCACAATAACATTAGTATAATGGAATGATCATAATATGTCAAAGTTTACCAACTCTGGTCATAATTTATTTTTTGTAATGGTGTTAAAAAGTGGAACACTGTTTTTTCCTGTGCCATTTTATAGTTTTTTTTTATTTTAACCTTTCATTGTAACCAGGGGTGACTAATTTATCTATATATTTTAAAGTTTGAGCAGAGCTATGATGGTGTAAAGCAAAAATAGATGTATGAATCTTTCCTGTATTGTTTTCTGTTAAGTTAAAAACAACAACGACAGTTGCAATCAGCAGATCCTTTAAGGAGGACAGATTGTGGCTCAATGGCAAAGAAGAGGACATTTCTCATCCAAGACTTCAGTCCTGCCTGAGAGAGAGTGAGTCCTCTCTGCTGGCGTTTGCACTTTAAAATCGTTTAGAGTACAGAAATATTAAGCTTCTAAATCGGATGCACTTATTTCTTTCCTTCTACTTAGTCAGAAGATTAGCAAGGAAGAGACGCAGTGAAAGAAACCCTCGTTCGACTGAGTCCGTGGGACTGTCTCATAAAGTCCACATTTGCTCTGTTAACAACTTCCCCACTGCTGCTGGACTGGCCTCTTCAGCAGCTGGCTATGCATGTCTGGGTGAGCCTTTGTATTTCTTGCAATCCACTGTTATAGTTCCCAAAAAAGAAACTGTTTTATTGTAACATATATTGTTTTTTACATCTTCTTTTTGCAGTTTATACGCTAGCCCAGGCATTTGGTGTGGAAGGAGAGCTGTCAGGGATCGCCCGTCAAGGCTCAGGCAGTGCCTGCAGAAGCATGTATGGTGGGTTTGTCCAATGGATCATGGGAAGCAAGGAGGATGGGAAGGACAGCGTAGCTCAGCAGGTGGAGCCAGAGAGCCACTGGCCGGAACTCAGGGTTCTTGTTCTAGTGGTGAGTCTGATTTATACATTTCTCTGAAAATGATTGTTGACATATATGTATCTACATGTAAAAAGCATTAAGTACAGCACCCTTATTATTTAGTTCATGCTATTTAAAATAATTAAGCTTTATATTTAGTAATATAAATAGTAATAGAAAATCCCTCTATTGTCCCTTTATTGGGGAAACAGTGGTGTTACAGAGGCAAAAGTGGTCACACAAATGTGGACCTTAAAAAGTGCATAAACACAACAGAATAAGTTATGTTTATGCACTTTTTTTAAGTTAAAAAAATTTAAACAAAAAATAATTAAAATACTGTACTATACAGTGTTTTTAATAATAATAATAATAATAATAATAATAATAATAATAATATAAATATTAATATAAATACTGTGCATCTGGAGAATAAATAATCAATATATAAACATGCATAACTTTTTTTTCGCACAGTGGACATATAGTCAGACAATTTTTTTTTTCTGTTTTTAAGTTTGTTAGGAATACCATACCAAGTTTTGTTAAAGCACTTTCAACACCCAACAGGACCAAAGTGCTATACACAATCATAAAATGCAAATAATCAATCATACAAACGATAAATTAAGTGGTGTATAAAAGTAGTAATAAAATAAAAAGCAATAATAAAAGTGAGACAAAGTCAACATCTCAGATTGTGTTAAAAGCCAAGGAAAATAAATGGGTCTTAAGAAGAGGCTTAAAACAAGAAAGAGAAGAGGCCTGTCTAATGGTCAAGGGAACGTCATTCCACAGCTTAGGGGCTGCAACAGAAAACACATGGTCCCCTCTGAGCTTGCATTTTGTCTTTGGCACCTTCAGTAACAACTGATCTAAGGCGGCCCCTGTCACACCCTGACCATTTAGCCAGCATATGCCTGACGTCCCAGAATCTCCTAAAACATTTTTTTCCAGTTTGGGCGTATGCATAGCATATTCATAACGAGTCCAGAACTTCTGTCCAGGACAGCCTAACTTATGCATAATGCATGGCAGCGTAATGCCCATGAAATGTCACAAGCAGCAATGCGTCCAGAGGCGGCCCGGCCTGCATAAAAAGATCTCTTTGATTGCGGTATTAACCTAGCTGCTGTTTACCACCTACCACAAAAAAGAAGAAGAAAGAAAAAGAACGAAAGAAGGATTCCAGTCGCAGCAGATTCAGCGTTATGTCTGCTAGAAAGATTGTTGGCAGTGGGCATGAACTTAGGGAGGATCCATCACACTCACCTTCTCACTCAACCTATGATGGGGGTTCAGTCTGAAAGGGTTCAGAACGTTTCCTCCTGTGAACCCCCTTTCATACCAAAATGCTGCCAATACGCATTAGAAACCTGTCCAGTGGTCGTCTGGAACATGTTAAATGCGTTGATATGTGTTGGAAATAAGTTCTTGAAAAGTTACGCATAAGTTATGCACACGTTACTCATAGGTTACACACCACGACTTATGAGTAACTTGCACTAAACCTAGGTCAATGATCAGATAACTTGCCTGTAACGTATGACCCATGAATGAGCAAATGCTGTCATACCTTCTCAATGTACTTTCCATATGTCGACGTTTGCCGGCATTTTTCAGCGTTCTCATAACTTATACAAAGCGTACCCATAAATTATCCAACGTATGCCAGTGTTTTTGCCAGATTNCTGTAGATCAGTGTTTTCCAACCTTTTTAGACACATGTTTCCCTTTGGGCATTTTGTCTTACCATGAGTTCCAAAGGTTGAATATACAATAAGTTTTATAAAATACAAATATTTTACTTGATCTTTTAATTAGAGCATTTAATTCTTAGGCATTTTATTATTTCCATCTCAAATTTAAAAAAAAAAACATAAGTATGTTGCCTGGAAGTTAGAGAGGAATCGACATAAAATCATAAACCAGTATTATTAAAACTGGAGCTCCACTGAGTAACTCCCTGATAATCACATTTAAGCTTGAAGAACTAGGAACAAAATACAGAACAAAAAGTATAGTCAGACTGACTAATTTAGTTTTACTTTGTTTTCATCAAGACACCTGAGCTGCTTTGATGAGCTCTGAAAGCTCAGTGTAAAAACATCTGATCCAAGGCTGTTCTTTACATCCAGTCTGTTCCTCTGCTTGGTTTGATTGGTGTCACAGCTGCAGGTGAACTCACACATATATAAAAACTTACTTTTTGGTTTATATATGCTTGTTTAATTTTTCAATTTGGTCGTCAGATAGCAAAACAGAACCCAGCCCTGTTCTATTTATTACCTAAGAAATAGAATATTTTCATCTAGTCCTTGCAATGCACTGGCGGACCACTAGGGGCATGCATAATAATAATAATAATAATAATAATAATAATAATAATAATAATAATAATAATAGAACTTTATTGATCTCTTCATACCAAAATAAAGCACAGCACCGAACAGAGCCGTGCTTTGACCAAATGATCTGTGCTGGGCTCAGGTTTTCTCTGGTGGTTGGTTCCTGTGGGCAGGAGGAGATTATGTAATCTTAGCAAAGGCACCATTTGCTGCACCATCAGCATGTGTGTTTGATGTTAAATTATGTTAAATGGATAAATACTGATGTTCATAACCTTGCCTGGACACCAAAGGAAGAACAACCTGACCTGACATAGTCACACCTCCTGATTTTGGTTTGGTCCTTAGGAACAGATAGATTAAGCCAGGATGCACTGATCACACTACATCAAGCCTAACTTCATATATTATACAGGATTTCTAAATTATGCTTTGGTGAAATAACCATCAGATCAGATTCAAGCTCATATTGGATCCTCCTAACCAACATCCTTACCTTACTCATGTTGGGATCCTTTAGTTGTTCATAGATTTACTGTTTTATGCTTTTATGGACAGAGTAAAGAGGTAAATGTTGCTTGTTGCTGTATAATATAAACAGTTTCTCTGATGGTGAAACTGAATGTGGGTCCACAATCTGCAGCCAACAGAAATACCATGATGGACGATGATGCAGAGAGCAGTATTTATGTTTAACTATCTTAAAAACATTGAGGTTTTAAGGTATGGAAAGATCGCTAGTTGCTCTCCAGCACTACCATCCATGTTTACT